ACTCCTGAAAGAGCAGAGAAAGAAAACAGAATTGTTCTGCTGAAGAAACTATTGCTACCATCAAGCACCTGGTGGTTCAACTTGTATCCTGCCTTTGCTGCCTTCACTGCCATGGAAACCCCACCTCGCTGCAGCCAACATTGCCACCAGAGTAGAAGTCTCTGTGGATCCTGGGGTTTTTTTCCCCTCAGCCACAACTCCTCAACATGCACTTTGGATGCCAAGGATGCAGAGACTACAAGATTCTAGTACATGAAACTTCAGTAGTGAAGAGTGAGCTGAGTTTTCACCAAGACTTCTGAGGTAAGGAATTTCCCCCAAAGTAGGAAAGGTGTTCAGATGCTGTGCAGTCAAAAAAGAATGAGAGATACTGATTAAAATATCCTCAAACCCCGCCCCCCCCACCAAAAGATGAGAAACTATTGGTGTACAGTGAACAGAGCACCACTGTGGACAAATATCAAGGGTATTCTTGCAGTGTGTGGTGCCTAGAGTGGTAGGTGCTCACAATATGCCTTTTCCCTACCCCCACTTCAGGTCTGCTGCCTATACTTTGAAAAACAAGCTGTAGTCATGCAATAAGCAGAAAGCTGGATTCTTATTCCCAGTCTGATCTTCCCATCTTCTGCTTTAGTTATGTTGGAGTCTGGACATGAGAAGATCATGAAACAGGTTTGACCACCTTCACTGAAAAATATTCCATGACACAATTGTTGGTAAATAGAAATGCTATTTTTTAATTAGTTCTTGAATGTGTAGGTCCTTTTAAAATTAGTAACACTTCACCTTACAATATTCCTTCTTCATATCCCTGGTCACCTTGGATCCCATCCATGGTCGTTGCTCTAAAAAAAAGACCTAGGAGGAACTCACCCTAAATAGCCAAGAAAAAGGTGCACTTGGGGAACGGGCATATGACTCGAAGCAGCACCAGGTGAAGGGGACACTCCTCAAAGCAGCTCAGTATGGCCTGAGGGTCCCTGTGCCCTGCCTTGGTCAGTGTTCCAATCCCCAGAGTTCCTGTTTCCTGTGTAGCCTGAGCTTTAGAATATAAGTTATCACCTTTAAAGCTGGAATGCCTTCGGGAAAGTACTGTTTCGGCCTCTGCCAGCTTTATAGACAGGGAGACTGTACCCAAGATCACACAGTTCATAACTGATACAGCCAGGGTATGTTTTAGGTGTTCACAATTTCAAATCACAAGTCTTTCCACTGTGTTTTCCTACCTCCAAGAAAGCAACCAATCTCTGACTCCAGCAGGCACTGGAACAAGCAAGTAATAATGATCAGCACAAGTGGGAAAGACCCAGCTGAAGTGAGTCATACTGACCCCAGCTGAGCCCCAAGCAAGTGATGAATCATAACACTTCCCCGCCTCCCCATCAGAATGTTATCATGGCAGACACAAACACCTGCCAGGATTATCCTCCTGATCAGCACCATATGTGGAAACATGTTTTACCATAAGAATTCTTAGAACAAGCAGAGGGCTATCTTTCAACAATAGATTATCTAATACAAAACCGTAAAGACAAAATAAATAAGTAGAAACTCATAAAGACAAATATTGTTCACCAGAAGACTACCCAAAAAGTGAAAAGACAAGCTACCAACTGGGTGAGTGTCTCTTTATATATCCGATAAGGATCTAGTAACCAAAATACATGTAAAACTTCAACAACTGAACAACAAAAAGACAAGTAACACAATCATAAAATGGGCAAAATACTTGACTAGACATTTCACCAGAGGAAATTCAAATGGCCACCAAACACAAGAAAAGATGCTCCATATCATTAGCCATCCCAAACAAAACCCACCGCCATAGGACAGAGTAGAACTGCCTCATAGGATTTCCAAGGCTATAAATCTTTATCAAAGCAGCTAAGGAACTGGTGAGTTTGACTTACTGAACTTTCAATTAGCAGTTGAGTGCTTTAATCACTATGCCACCAGGGCTCCTGTCATTAGCCAACAAAGAGAAGCCCAAACCACAACGAGATACCACTTGTTTCCCATTAGGATGGCTAAGATTAAAAAAAAAAAAAAAATGCTGGTGAGGATGAGAGTAAATTGCTGGTAGGAATGCAAAATGGTATAGCTGTTAGGGAAAACAGAGTCTCTGCTTGCAAGTCTAGACAAAAATTGAACTAGACTTGAAAGAGACTTGGAAAAAGACTTGTGATGACAATGTTCATTGCAGCACTATCCACTAACCAAAAGGTGGAAACAACCTAAATGCCCATATCAATAAATGAATGCATAAACAAAATGTGGTACACACATACAACAGAATAATACTCAGCCAATAGGAGAAATGAAGTCTTGATATAGAAAGTTTATAGTATAAGTGGAGCCTGCTGAGTGAAATAAGCCAATCACAAAAGGACAAATATTATATGATCTCACTTATATAAAAAGACAAGAAAAAAACAATATAGAGAGACCAGAGTTTATTAGTGGTTACCAGAGGTGGGAGGATATGGGGAAAGGGAGGCTACCAGTGAGGGTAAAATTGTACTGATTAAGGGTAGGGTTGCACAGTTGATTATAATTACTGTCAATAAATTGTACACCTATAAAAAGATGAATTGGCAAAAATTGTGTAATAGATACATTTATAACAATGACCAAAAAGAAAAGAAAAAAACAAACTGAGTAGCTGCTGAGGCTGCTTATATATAAGCAAACACCTCATGGGATTTGGATCCTTGGTTTGAAGATTTAGGGTCATGATTCCATGGGACATCCCAGTTAATTGGCTTCATAACACATTTAGTGCTTATGTTCTACCTCCTTGTTTATTGTGTAGTGCTTGGGGTCTTAAAAGCTTGCAAGTGGCCATCCAAGGCACAAAAATTGGCCTCTATTCCCTGGGAGCAACAAGGGGAAAAGGAGAGCCTGAAATAGGAGGAGACTATGGAATGTGTGGCTAATTGTCTCCATGAACAACTAACTGCCCCCTTTGCCATGAAACCAGAAGAGCTGGATGGTGCCTGTCTGCCATTACAGACTGTTGTGATCACAGATTCTATAGAAGAGTCCTGTTCAAAGGGGAGAGAGATGGAATCGAATTTCAAATTCTCCTGGACTCCAGACTTTCTGGAGCCATGGAGGTTGGATGAACTCCTGGAACTATTGCCCTGAGATAATCTTTAAACCTTAAACCAAAAAAATCCTCTGAAGTCTTCATAGTAGTTTAGCTTGACTAGTAAAAAAGGTCTGCCTTGAGCATTCTGCTCTTTTAGGAACTCTCTGTATGGATCAGACTGACAACAGCAACTCAAAGGATTAAATAGGAACCTTAGGGGCTAGTGAGTTTATGTTGATGAGGGAGGGGCAATTCAGAAAAGGAGGGTGAGGATGGTTGCCCAACTCAAAGAAGGTTGTCACTGTCTCTAAATTGTACATGTTGAAACTGTTGAATTGGTGTCTGCTTTGCTATGAATATTCTCAACAACAAAATAAAATTAAAAATTAGAAGAAAATTTTTTTGTCCATTAGCAAAGCACCTACAGACAAGAATTTCCATAAACTGTATCTCTTAGCAAAAATAAAGCCATGACCTGAGACTCCCCTGGAATTGTTCGCTGCCATACAAGGGACAGAGAAAACTATGTCTTGAGAGTCAGGCCACTGAAATGCCAGGTCCACAGCTCCCCCAGCAACATCAGCACAGGTTCCTACAAACAAGTCCTGACTTTGAAAGTGGCCTGAACTCCAGCACCTGCCTATACCCTCCTCTTCCTCACAAGCACACTGCATGGACCACGGAGCTCCTGTCCCTGTGGTTTCTGGGCAGACACTCTCTGTGTTCTAGAAGGATTAAGGTTCTAACATTGCTTCAGGGTCACCAAAGGACACTGACTTCATTGCCTATGGGTTTCCCCTTCACCACCCTAGCCAAACTTTCTAGTGACTATCTAGGTCTGGCTCCCTCTGGCCTTCTCCAGCCTCTAGCAAAGCATAACTGCCAGCAGAGTCCTGGCGTTTTCTGGGCTGAGGACAGCCTGAAAGCAGGTTGGCCAAGAAGCCACTTCTAATCTTTGGCTCTGTGAAGTTGGAGGGGTTGGGAATCAAGACCTCTAAGCTAGAGGAGAGGTGCTGCAGAGTGAGCTGACGGTGGGTCATCTCCTTGTCCAGAAAACACTCAACCTGAAGCCAACAGCAGCAGCCGCCTGCCTCATAATTTTCCCAAACAACTCAGGATGCACACCAAAGCAGCGGCACCACAGAAAGGCTCTGAAGTGGGCATCTTCTTTGACCTGCCAGTGAGGCCTGAACCAGAAGATGTAAGGGGTGCCCCCGCACAGCCCTCAGTCCAGTTAAGAATGCCATGCGTTTCAAAGCCCTCCCAAAGGAACCACCTAAGTTAACATCAGGAAAGGGAGCATAGAAAACAAATACCCTGAAAACCATTAGAACCCTAATAGGCACCGATTGAGACCTATGGCCTTTAGAAGCCTCCATTACCTTGACCATGATGGGTGCCTCTGTCCCAGCAGGACAAACAGAGGCAAACAATGACAGTCTTTGGCTGTTCTGGACCAGAGATCTCAGACCTGCTGTATGTGGAACCTCTCTCCCTCTTTTATCCACTTATGAGTGCAGGGGTTCAGACATACACATTGCTTCTGAACCCAGGACACTGGAAGGTGAGGAAGGTCTGCTTTCCTCAGCAGAAAGAATCCACCAAAGAAATTAGGTCCTCCAGAGCTTGACCAGGCTCAGTCTTCTTGTCTCCTGGACCCTAACACATCTGATGATTTGGTAATAGGGAACATCTCCCACTTTGATGTTTATTACTGAAATCTTCTCTGTAGTGGATGCTCTATGACCCCCAAATAAATGTTGTAGAATCAAACGGCACAGAAGAGCACTACACAGCTCACCAAGACTCGTCTCACACCCACAACCTGAAGAGAATGAGTGGAGAGGTGGGAAGGAATGGTCAACAGGGTGGGGCACTAGCTGCCAGTGCTCAGTGTTCCTTTCAGCTCTCACACTTGGGAGATGCTGTTGGCTAGGCGGAATGGCATTCGTTTTGCTCTCTCATTCTCCTGAAAAGAAAAGGGAAAAAAAATGGAATTGGAATGGCCAAATGTAGAGTTTATTACGGTAAAAAGGCTAAATGCTGAGAATGGAATTCCCTGAGTAAAAATGTTCTATTCTACCTGAGAAATGCACAAAACTCACGGAAGCCACTAACCAATGTGTGATAAACAGTTGGTTATGGCTGCTCAGGCCCTAACACACAGTCAGCAGGTAATAAATGCCAGTGTAAATGCCAGTGCTGAATCGATGTTTCAGGGCTACACAGGTGGGATCATGATATTTTGACACAGCCAAAAGATCAAAGCAGCTCTCTTTGCTATAAGCAACACACTCCTTCCTTCCCTCTACCATGAGGCAGAAAAAGATGCCACCCTTTCTCCCTCACAGCCAAGTAGAGACCAGGCACTGAGACCAGGCATCGTGGTGTAGTATAATCAACACTGAACTGGGAAGTGAGGAGGGTTGATTTGTCACCCTAGTTCTTCCATTCATTTGCTGGATGACTGTTATGGTCCCCCAAAATATGTGTTGTAAATCCTAACCTCCATGTGTGTTGTGGTTATATTCCCATTTGGGAGTGGGTGTCTTTGCTACATTCATCAGGCAGGATTAGTGTAGGATGTGTCTTGAGTCAATCTCTTTTGAGCTATCACAAAGATTGCAAAGCAAAAGAGGACGCAGAGATGGGGGAAGAGATGCCAAGCTCCAGGAAGACTGCTGTGAAGCAGAAGCTCAGAGGAGACAGGAACCTTCCTCCGGAGCTGACAGAGAGAGGAAGGTCTTTCCCTAAAGTCAGTACTGTAATCTGGACTTCTAGCCTCCTAAACTGTGAGAAAATCGATTTCTGTCTGTTATAAAACCACCCATTTGTGGTACTTCTGTTACAGTAAGCAGTACTAGATAACTAAGGCAAGAACCTTGGGCAGATACATTCACCACTCTGAATTCTGATCGTCATTGGTAGCTGGAACTGAAGGTACAGCCACTTCCCTGCCTTTCTCCATGCTGAGGGTTCATTGTCACCAATATCTCTGTGCCACCCCCACGTGGACAGCCACACATTAGGTTATTCTGTACATGCTCAGATGCCCACTGTCTTCCTGCCCACCCCCACCCCCCTCCTGCCAGCTGGTAGCAACTCCTTACCATGTGGCGCCGACGCCTCTTGGGTTGGATGCCCTCCTGCACGTAGTGGGGCCACGGGAAGCCCTGGGGAGTGGAACATCCACTCTCACTAGACACCTCCTCAGAGTCTGAGTCCTCCTGCCTTGGCTGGGCAAACAATTTATCTGGGTAGATCTCCTTCAACCAGCCCTCAAAGAATACTTCTAGGCAGCGGCCGGCCTCAGCAACCTCGGAGTCAGGCTGAAGGGGGAGAAGAGAAGTGATGATCTGACCTCTTCCCACCAACTTACCCACTTCCAGGTCCCTCAAAAGCTACACGAAAGCTCAAAGCCTTGCTGGGGCTGTTGTGTGTGTCCAGAATGTGATGTTCTCACCTCAGGACTCAGGATAGCCAGTTTGGCATCAACTCTTATAGCAAAAGTAACCAAGACAGGTACTCCTGTATGGCCAGTCACTGTCCCCTCCCACCTTTCCCCTGAGTCCATGAGAGGCCCAAGTGTAGGAGAGAGTTTTTAAGCTCATAGCAATCCAGGCCCAAGCCTGACTCCCCATCCAGCCAGGGCAGACGTGGATCTATTGGAGAGGAGGAGAGAGGGCTCCAGGGCAGGACATACGTAATTGAACTTGGCACAGTTCCAGAACATGAGGCGCACGTCTGACACCACCTCCTCTGGGGTGGTGTAGTGAGCTGGGTCCTTCTTTTGCAGCTTCCTCCGGATGATTGACAGGTCCATGGGCCTCTTGATAATCTGGTAATAATGCCGGGCCTCGGGAGGAGAGAGGGGAAGAAGGAGGAAGAGGGAAGAAGAGGTGGAAAATGAGTTGGGATAGAAGTGAGTGAAGAGAAGAAAGGTGGGGAGCAATAGGAAGAAATGGAGAAGGAAGACAGAAAGAAAGGGGAAAGGAGGACTGGATCACTTGCCAAGTTTGACGCAGCCACAGCTGGGAGTGTGGAGTGGCCATGCCCCCCCTCCCCCGGCCAGGTCCCCTGGACCATCCACAAATATCATCACTGCTTCCAGAGGCCACGCTCTGCATACACCCATGTACCACAGTGACCCTACCACTGTCCTCGGGTCCTCTGAGCAGACAGGAGCAGTGGGCTCATTCCTTACCAGGGGGCTGACAGGTTCATGGAAGGGCAGGCTGAGGCTGTTACAGCACAGGGACAGCACCAGTTTCTCACACTTCTGCAGAAATCAGAATTGGCAACAGTGTTACCGTGTTCGGGCCCCATCTCAATCAGAACTACAGCGAGGGACTCTGTTAACTCTACAGAGGGCTTAGCTGTCCCACAGGGTGTGAACTACCACACTCAGGCACAGTGTAGGCAGAAGGAAAATTATGGTAACCACTCATGGGACAAGTGTCCAGGCATAGCCCAAAAGAGATATACCAGAAAAGGTCTTCCATCCCCTCTGAAAAATGTCAGTCCTATAATTGGCCCTGGGTAGGAGACCCCTCCCTACCTTCTGGTCATGCATGCTCAGTCCAGGAGGGGCCCGCACTCCAGGCTGGTTGTAGCGGGCATTCTCACAGTCGTACTCCATCTCGGGTTGGGTCAGGCTGCAGCACAAGGTACACACCCATTCCCCCCTGCAAAGGCAGGTGAGGCCAAGTTAGGCCCAGAACATTGTCAAGAGCACCATTCCCTGGGGGCCATGGTGTGGAAATCTGAGTCCCTAGCCCTGCCCTGAAGGGATGGCTTCCTAGCTACAAGCTTAAAAGACATTCATTATTAACTCAGGGATTAGTGAATCCAGGAAAATGGAAGTTATGAGAGGAGCTGAGGCAGGAGGAAAAAGGGACAAATCTGTAAGCAGGAAGAAGCTGGGAACACGGGAAGAAGGGAAGGCCGCCAAATGTCAAACATCCACTTGTCTGAGTGTAGAAGGCCCACCAACTCACCCATCTGCAAGCGCAGAAATGGGGAGGTAAAATTGTCCTGGGGAGTTCTGGGGCCTGGCCTGGGATGATAGCTGCTGAGAGATAAGTCTGCTCCCCAGAAGTGGCCCTGCGCTGCCCGGACTCACCCTGGAAAGCTAAGCAGGGCTGGCACGTGGCAGGAGAGGTGGTACACTTTGGGGCAGCGGTCACAACACAGCAGCTCTCCCCCATTGAGGCACACAGCACAGAAGTCCTCATTCTCGATGGGGACCGGGGGCCCCTTCTTGGCTCCAGGGATTCGAGGAATGAGTCTGTGCTCCTCAGAAGATGCACTTTCCAACTCTGGTGGCCGCTGCCCAGCCAGAGAAGTGACAGTGACCTTTCTTCCCCCAAGACTTGGGGCCTGGATGGCATCAGGCAGGCTGTCCTGGCTGACCTGGGAAGGAAGTGGGTTCGAGCAGTTGGTGCACAGAACCCACAGCTCGAGCTCATTGGGTTAGTGAAGAACTGGCAGATCCTGCGCACCTACCATGAAAACCCCAGGTTAACCGCATCCCAAGGATTCTGGGACAGCTCACTCCTAAATGGACATCGCTCAGGCCCCTTTCAGCAGGGGACAAAGTCTGGCCAAGCTGGAACCCCACTCAGGGGGTTCAAGGCAGAGCCAAGTGGTACATAAGGCTTTGAACTAGTTCAAATCAGTTCAGCCACGTCCAACAAAGTGAAATTGGCACAGACTCAAATGTTTAAAATCTGGGTGAAGCAGATAACCAGAATGGGAAAAGTTACATGTCAAAGCCCTGGAATGGGAAACTTGGAAAAGGCATAGTGAGCCCCTTCGGGAGCGTGATGTGGGAGAATTGGCAGGACTGTGGAGAGCCACCCGCATTCAAAGCAGCGGGCTTGGTCCCCATCTTTGAGCAGAGCATTGTTGTTCTGACTTTGCAGGTCAGGGGATTTGGTTGTTCTACAATGTGCACACTGCCTTTGCTTTTTAAGAGGGAGATTAAATTTTTATCAGGCCAGGATATTGTCCCATAATTTTCCCCATTCTAGTTATTGTCCTAGCTCCCCCACATCTGTACAATGTGGGTCCATAACTAAAGCAGGGAGAACCATTTCAAAGCCCTGGTGGTACCTTAATGGACATGCTGGAAGACTCAGTGCCACACTCGATGATTAGCAGGAAGCTCCCATCCTGATCATTCTTCTGTGGCTTCAGCTTGAACACTGGCATCTCTCCTGAGGAGGCGGCACAGATCTTGAGTCGCTCCAGTCGCACATAGGGAATCTTGGGCTCATTGTTGAAGGCTCTGTGGCTAAAGAAACACCCCTAGGTCTTGGTGAGAGCCTTCCCAACCTCTAAGTGAGAGAAATGGGTTCCCTGAAGAGGGTGGAGTACATGCAGAGTGCTTGTCTCATGGGGCTGGAGCCAGGATGCCCTCCCATAACTATCCCAGACATACAACCACACACAGCCCACTCGAGGGCCGGGGGATTAAAGAAGGCAGCTACAGGCAAAGTTCTGTTTTCAACTAAGTCATCAAGAATGCCTACGTCCTGGGCTAACCTGCTGCACATGAAGTTGGGGGTGGGGGAGGTTGGCCAAGAGGTTGTTTGTGTACCTGATGCTCTGGTTCTCTTTTGTATCCAGCTTGAGGTCTCCTTGTTCAAAATTCTCATACTCTAAGGACAGAGACAAATATCTGTGCTATACATGTGTGACAACATACCTGCTACCAGACCTGCAATCACACACTTGCTAACACACTGTAACCATACAGTTGTAACCACGTACCTTTCACTACTTCTGTCATCCATACCTTCCATTCAGATCTGCTCGTCAGACCTTTAGCCACATTCCTGTTACAAATTGTGACCCATATGAAGCCAGGCAGAATGGTGACCATACTACATAGGTCTCCTTCCTGACAGGGAAGTAGGCCACCTTTTTATAAAAAGATGAACACAGAAAACACTCAGAGGCTGGGAAGGGGTGGGTGTTGGGTCTGGCACAGATGGGCCAGATTCTCACTCATGAAATAAGCTTAGCAATCACTTGTTCCCAGTGCTTGAGTGTTACCTGCTTTTGGAAGTCATTCTGTCCAGCCTCTGCCTTTTTAACCAGGTACTGAAATCCTAGCACTGCTTGAGTCTAGCTCACACCCCAAGGGCACAAGCCCTGGCTGTGTAGTGTAGTGTGTGTAGTGAGTAGGAACAGAGGTAAAGAGAGAAGGAGGAACCAGCATTCCTAGAGTGCACACTCAGTACCAGGCACCATCCAAGCAAGACACTTAACAGGTGGCACAGTAAAATCCACAAAATTGGCAAGCAGGGTCCAAAATAATTGCATACATTATTGTGTAGTTATTACAAACCAATAATTGTTCAATTGGACTTTCAGGGAGCATGGTCAAAAGGAAATCAATAAAAACTAAACAGACACCACACGCTGAATGGGAAAAGTCCCAAGTGATCACCAGAAAATTGTTTCTCATCTTCCCAACTAACCCTCACCTTCTAAGAAGAAAGGAACCTTGGCCCTGCCCCATTTGAGAAGGGACATAGGTAACTGAGTAAAGCATAGTCCAAATCATCCAAATCCCCTTTACTATGGGCACAACACAAATTCGCATGACTGCCAGTGCAAGGCAAATTCTTGTTACCACAGAGTAAGTTAAGTGATTATCTTGTACTGATTGATCCCCATAGCCTATGAAGCAGACATGATTAGCCCCCTTTACAGAGAAAGATGCTAATTCAGAGAGGTTTAAGTGTCTTACTGAGGATCAAACATAAAGAGAAAGAAATGGTTTCTAAATTAGATCTGTCTGACTTCAAAATTCATGTGTTTTTCCTTGTCCTATTTGGCCAAGGTTAGCCCTTCTGGGAAGAGCCCTGGTACCGTAGTGGGTAATGTGTTAGACTACTAACCGCAAGGTCAGCAGTTCAAATCCACCAGTCACTCCACAGGACAAAGATGAGGCTTTCTGCTCCCATAGTGACTTACAACCTCAGAAAACCTATATAGGGTCACTGTGAGTCGGAACTGGCTCAATGGCATGCAGCAACACCAGTAGCAACAGCCTTTCTGGGGCAAGTTCTTCCTGTTTCCTGACCTATAACCCAGAGTCCTAGGAGTTTTTACATAAAGCAATGTCACAAGGAGGCTAAGCTCTGACCATGGCTATGTAACTAAGGCTTCAGTGAGGGCAGCAGAGCTAGTCCACCAATAAGACTGGATGGATGGATGGCTGTGTGCTATTGAGTCGGTTCTGACTCAGGGCGACCCTGTATAGGGTTTCCAAAGCTGTCATTCTTTACAGGAGCAGAAAGTCTCCTCTTTCTCCCACAGAGTGCCTGGTGGGTTCAAACTACTACTGAGCTTGTGTTCAAACTACTACTGAGCATTCTTTACAGGAGCAGAAAGTCTCCTCTTTCTCCCACAGAGTGCCTGGTGGGTTCAAACTACTACTGAGCTTGTGGGTAGCCGCCTAGTGCATAACTCACTAGCTATCAATAAGTCACTTCTAGGGAGGAGAACTAAAAACCACTGCTCCCCAGACTCAGAGCCTGTCTGCTGGGCTCCCGTCAATCAACCAACATAAAAGCCAGGTGGCTTACTTGAGCCTCACCTTTTGGGTTCCGATACTGTTGCAGAGCCATGGATGTGTTGACTGCTGGGGCCACTGGAGGCCTTTTCACCGACAGGTTAATTGGTTCCTCCAGTTCTGAGGGGAGAACCAAGTCCTTGGGAGCATCCAGACCAAGGGCTGTGGGGACTGGCACCAGAGAGTCAGTGAATCGGGTGGGCTCCTCACTTTCCAGCTTTCAAAAATGAAAGGCCAACAAGAATCAAACAAGTGAGATAATGGTACATCACCAGTCTCAGAGCTGTTAAGCTAAGGCCAGAAAAAGGCCTTCAGTGGTCAACCTTTTGCCCAGTGATAAGCAAGAGGGAGCCGAACGGCATTTCCCTCCAGACTTACCTTACATAGGGCATTTCCTAGGGAGTGGTCTGCTCCGTCCCCAGGGCACAAGGGCACAGCCCGAGCAGAGCCAGAGCTAGAGCTGGAGCTGGATCCAGTTTCTGGCTGTGTATCAGAAGCTGGCGACACACTCTGCAGAGGACAAGTTGCCAAGGTAGGCACAGCCTGGGTGTGACCAGACATTAGGCTGGACCCAACCTGAGAGTGATCACTTGTCAGGCTTCTGACAGCCTGGGGAGGTTCACTCATCAGATTAGGCATGGATTGGTGGGTGCCACGCACAAGGCTGGGCATGGTCTGCAGGTGGCTATTTGTCTGACCAGGCACGGTCTGGCTTTGACCACTTGTCAGGGGTCCACTCAGTAGGCTTGGCACTGCCTGGGGAGGGCCAGCTGTCAGGCTGCTCACGCTCTGGATCTGGGGCTCACGGGTCCTTGTCAGCCTGGGAGATGATACCTCCATCTCCAGAGAATTGGAAAAGCCCATGATGCTCACCGAGGTAGAGTGCTGTGGGAACAGAGGCAGGGGTAGCATCAGGTTGTTATCTGGAAAGGATGGAAGGGAGAGGGAGACCCAGCCCACAGAAGCTCCTATGCTCAAATTTCATTCTGGCCTCTGAGTCTTCTAGCTGCAAAGAATTCCTGCATCATCGCATGAAGTCCTGTTCCTATTCCCCTAACCAAGGAGACTGCTAGACTATGATGCAGAGAGGCAGGTACAGGCTGAAGACACTGGTAAGTGTGAGTGTGTGTAAGTGTGTGTGAGAGAGAGAGAGAAACAGAAAGCCTACCGCTTGACCTAAGGTGTATACACACACACGCTCAGCAGCAGTAGCAGCAGCTTCATTTCTTACTCCCAATCCAGTACCTAAGCAAAGGATCAGACTATGAGACTGCCCTCCCATTTCATAGTTCCCTCTGACTTTAACACTGCTGGTTGTTTATCTTCCCTTCAGGAGGCCCTATTGGGTGATTTCTATGATAGAAAAGTGACAAGCAGTTAGGAAGGTGCAAACTCTGATCTCTTTCAGATATTCTTCTTTTGAAAGAATGCCAACATTTAGGTAGTCGAATCAGTTTGAGAAGCTTGAGTCAACTCGAGTTCCTTCTCGCAGACTTGTTCCCAACAACTCATTAGTACTAGATGGGGGCTTTACCCAAGATGATCTTACAGTCTTGCCTAGTCCTAGTAGACCTAGCAAAGACATTCCAGACTAGAGGCAGAGCGTCTCAGAGAAGCTAATTTTCATTGCCCCTGATTATACAATCACTGAATGAGGTAATAATATTCCAAACGTAGTAATTTGTCTTCCACCTCTAACTACTTAATGATCTAAGGAGAAAAGACTTCAAATTTTTATATAAAAACGAATAAGATTTCCATATTGAATCCATTCAGATTTTTCAGGTTGAAGTAACAGATTTGATGGAAGGGAGGAGAAGAAATGGGATGGGAGAGTGGTTCTAAATGTAACCTTCAGGAATTTTGAAGTTGTATATCCTTGCTTTTCCTTTTTTTTAAGACTAAAGATACAACAATTTGGTCTAATCTTAAAGTCAAAGGTAAAACAAGTAAGCCTCTCTAAATTCCAACATAAAGTATCCTAAACGAATCATTCTTTTCCTCATGAATAAGGCATTCAAATTTCTACAGGACTATAAATATGTGAAATACACTCAAATTTCAATATAAAGTCAGACAAACTATTTCTCAGTGAATAAAAGACTGTCTTCATCTCAGTAAACGTCACTCCTATTCACCCAGTTCTAAAATCAGATCCTAGAAGGTACCAGTGGTGCATCCTTCATCCCTTGTCTAGTTAATACCAAACCCCTTGAATTCTGTTTCTTAAATACCTCTCATATCCATTCACTGATCCCTCTCTTGACAGCTATCAACCTTGCCTAACCTACTTTCATTCCTTCCCAGACCACAGTAGTAGCCTCCTCAGTAAAGAAATATTTTCAAAACACAACTCTGATCACTTACAGTTTTGAGTGTACTCCATTGCTCTTTAGGAAAATTGCAGGAATGCTTAAAAAGGTTCTCAAAGCCCTGATGCCCTGTTCTCATCCTCCTTTGTTGCCACAACTAATTCAACAATGGTCCCAATATGGAGCTGTAGGATAAGCACTGGACTGCTAACCACAAGGTCAGAGGTTCAAACCCAACTGCTGATCCTTGGCAACCCTATTCAGGGTCACTATGAGTTGGAACTGGCTTGACAGCACTTATTAATAATAACAACAACAACACCGAGTCAGAAACAACTCGATGGCACTTAACAATTCCTCATACATTGAGCTCCAGTCACTCAGACAATTTTTTCAGTTCTTGAAACATGCTAAGGTCTCCGTCCACCCAGGACCCTCACCCTCTTCAGACTACTTACTCTGTGTAGAACATCTAATCCTGTGCCTGCCCCACTTGTCCTTCCTCAGAACTCAGCTCAAATGGTATTTTTCACTTCACTCATTCCCTAGCCCAGACTGGGTTCCCCTCTTTGATGTTCTCATAATTCCTTGTACTGTATTCTCATTGCACGATTTGTGATATCATTTGATCAATGTCCATTTACCTACTAAATTTTTAACTCCATAGAGGATGGATTTGATCTCTTTTGCTTACCCACTGCATTCCTAGGCTTAAGCGAAGTGAATAGATGAATAAATGAATCGACCTATTTGAAGTGTAAAAAACAAACAAACACATGGCTGTTTAAAGATCTTCAGGCTAATGACTACCAGCTTAGTTATAGTAGCATCTGAGTCTATGAGTCTTCGCTACAATAATGCTCCTTTTTATTATTGCTAAAATAATTGAGAACTTATTATATGCAGGGTAGCTTGCTAGGCATTTTACACACATGACCTCACTTATTCCTCACAGGACCTGTTAAAGGATCGTTGTGAAGGTTAAAGAAAGAATCCATGTGTACATTTAGAACAATGTCTAGCACTTATTTTACACTTGAGGAAAAATGAGCCTCAGAAAGCCGTATGAAATTTTTTAATATTATTGTAAGAAGCATCATTTTGTACATTTCTGCTTGTCTTTACTTGTGCTCAGATATAAAAATTGATCTTTATACAAGGGGCTTCAAAATGTTCGTGGAAAAATGGAATTTTCCCATGAACTTTTTAGAGCCTTCTTGTATATTGGCCTCGCTCTCAAAGACTGTGCTAAAATGTATTAATGTTAATGATAGTTTCTTTTGGATTTTTGTGTACACTAATCATGTCATCTGTGAATAGTACGTTCTATTTCTTCCTTTCCATTGTTTTTCATGCCTTACTCCACTAGTTAAGATCTCCAGTTCAGTGGTGAAGTAGTCCTAGTCAGCATGATCTCACTCATAATTTTAGAAGATACTTTCAGTATTTCACCATTAAGTATGATATTTAATGTAGGCTTTTTCTATTCAAAATCTATATCTATGGCACCAAATTCATACCCTTAATTCTGACCTGTATCTGCCTCTTCTCTGTTCTTATTTCTTTCCTCTCTCCCCTGGCCTCTATCCTTCAGTCTCTTTATCTTTCCCTATCCCTGGCTTTTTATCTTCTCATCATCCTTCTTTCTCTTCTTGTCCTTTCCCTTTATTGCTTAACTGCTTTAATAAAGCTAATATTTTCTAGCCTCAATTTTAAAAGCAGATGAGTTGAGTACCTTCTGTTTAGCTGTACAAAGAAAGGTTTTCTTTTTAATATTCCTTGGTAGTTCAATAATCATCAACGGAAAGGCTTCAATTTTCTGTCTATCCTAAGCTCAACATAAGAAGATTGAAGAGATGGAAGGGTGATAAAATGTGCAAACCAAAGTAAGCAAACTAGATAGTGAGCCCAGTTCACTGAGGCCACAAGCCAGTGGCTATGTATCTCAAAAATGCCCTAGCCTATAGCCCTCGGGGACCCCTTATTGTTCTGTTTAGGCCTAGCCACAGCTTTCTAAAGTCCTATATTTCCTTACCTACAGACAAGAATATTCAATGATTATTGTGTTCCCTTTTGTACTGTAAGTCTGAATTCTTTCACTTTTGCCCTATTTGACAGGTACGTTTAATATAGTTCTTGTGTTCATCTTATCTACTGATACTAGACTTTGAGAATGGCATACACAGTTTTTGGTGAGATCCTTGGTGTCAAGCATTTAGGAGCACCAAAATCCATCTGTGCCCATCCTAGTGATAATGGGCAGGTTCTGTATGTCACAAGATATACACAATACAAAATTCCCAAGGACAAATCTTTCCAAATTGGGGTAAAGATCACATTTGTAAGATATCCACTCTCCTGCCCATTTTCCCTGAGTACTTATTGAGTATCATAAGGTGTAGATAAATAGAATAGCAGGACAGAGAGCGCATGCAGACTGAGCAGTGAAAGAACTGTGGAAATTGAATCAGAGTTTAAGCTAGACCTGCTGGACCTGTTCCCAGAACAGTCCGAGTGCAATAATCTGCCCTAAAATATTGCATACTAGATTGATCTCTTTCATCTCCATGTCTACAGCCAATGCAAAGAAGGTCACAGCTACTTGGAGGTGGATGAAGCTCTGGTAGTGATAACAAGAACTTAGGAAACATCTATGGGGGAATTCTGAGAAGGTATCAGAGGAAGTGCTATGAGGAAGCCAACCCAACCCCATTCCTATAGGCTAAATGCAATGTTGTTTCTGAAACTTATGTATGCTGTGTTAGCTATTCTTGATATGGTCCTCTGGATTGAAGAGTTACAAAATCTTAAAATAAAAGGAACTGTATATCACACATAGCAAGAAAGAGAGACGTTGGCAGCCTGCACCCTATTGTGTTGTCTGAGCTACTAGGTGAGTGTGGGAGAAAAGTTGGGCCAACTCTCAAGGCCAGGAAAGCAGACTTTAGGGCACAGACCAGGGGTGGGAACCAAAACTTAAAACATTATTCATGGGCCATACAAAATTATCAACTTAAAAATTAGCCTGCTATATTTGGTCAAACACTTAATTAACTTACTCCTATTGTGAAGGCTGAGACTGCAGTTGCCTTGGCAGGGCCAGACCAAGGCCCGCGGGCCAAATGTTCCCCACCCCTGGTGTAGACAGAAGAAAAAGTTTCAAGAGCATGCTAGGGTTGGAGAAGGACTTGGCCGTGTAGCCATGTTTTCTGCACTTGGTGCTTCACATATAGAAGGAGCTCATGTGTCAATGGAAGGGGTACTGCCTCTGCCCTCTCCAGCACCTAGGACTGTTAAGAAGCTGAGTGAGAGAACTTGGAAGTGCTTTCCTGCTATAAAGTCAGCATAGAGCACTCACAGACACTTCTGAAATGTCAGCTACATAACTTACACCTCAACTCTATCTTCACGTGCAAAAACCTGAGATTTCAAGAGATAAAATATGTATTTTGAGGTTTACAAGTGAAAATAAACTATTTTCAAGTTCAGAGAGGAAAAGAAGTCAAATGCCAAAAAGCATTGACTCTGATCATAAATTTAAGTCATCTTTGGACTATGAAGGGGGACTCTCTC